ACATACACTTATACGTGTGTGTGTGTGTGTGTGTGTATAGCACTGGGGGAACTGGCCATTGGAGGAAGGGTGGCCCCAGGATGGCAGTGAGCTAATGTCTCTCTGGCCGAGTGACTGTGGCCCATTGGAAATAGGCAGAGGCAGCGTACAGGGAAGAAGGGTGGGAGTGGGAAACCATGCATCTCTGGTTAATGGATGCTCTGTCTGGGAGCTCCAAGAAGTTACCTTCCTGTACTCCCTGTCCAGGGTCACTGGTGGCTGTGTGTCAAGATGGTGAATCCGTGCCATGTTAGTTGATAGGGGACCGCCTCTACGTAGTTCTCCCCGTTCTCTGTTCTTTGTCAGTTTATTCTTCCATTAGGTGCCTGATCTAGTTCTTTATCCCTTCATTTGATGCTTAGGGGTTCCAGGATTGATGTTTATATCTGTTTAACTTAATTTTTCAGGTCTTTGCTTTAGAGGAACTACGTGGTGCTCCTGTCTATAGTGCCATGTTGGCCTCACCTCTTTCCCTCTGGTTTTCTAACTCCTGATCTTGCACATTTCATTATAATACATTACTTTGTCTTCTAGAGCTACCTTTTGAAGTCTTTTGTTCAGCTCTTTTACTTCATCTTTGTGCTCGTATTTGAAATACCAGTTACTTAGCTCCAGCATCACAGCAACACACAAGCTACTACAGTACTATAAACTGTCAGACAAGTAGTAGAATCATACTGTAGCTTAAGAAAATCATGAAGATCATGTCATCCACACCCATCATTTTATATATGATGAACCTGATCCCAGAAGAGATACAGATGTTCAAAACATCACAAAGAGAAATTAGTCAGAACTAGGAGTAACACGTGTCTCCTAATCCTGGTCCTTTCCATGTCATGCTCCACTGTGAAGCTGTCAGACTGCTTTTTCCAAGAAGTCCACAGATGGATCATCCTATCTAATAGCATCCTTCCACTGTATTTCTCTACACTTCCTTGCAGGAAACCATAGAGAAAAAGAAGGAGGATTTCATGATACAGAATGAAGAGGCATCTGAAAAATACTGCCAGGTTGAGCTTAAGAAGATTTCTGAGCCCCTGATGGCAAGTATTTCAAGAGGAACTTTCTCTGTTCCTGGAGGACACAGTCTCTACCTAGAAGCAAAGAAGAAGTTTGAGCAGAACTATGCGCGCGTGCCCAGGAAAGGAGTTAAGGTGAGGAATAAGAGAACAGAAGGAATTCCAGCCAAGTTGAGGCTTAGTCTTTGCTATCCTGAAAAATCTAAGTCTACAGCACCAGTTTGGAGACAAAGAAGAGCATAGGGATATCTTGGCATCTTTAGTTTTTAGACCCACAATTACTTCAGTATCTTGAAGAGACAAGAATATTTTTTCCCAAGGAAAGGATTTAGAATCAGGAATTCAAATGAAAGAGAACATTTATTTCATTATTATGCAATGTGATAGTTTTTGTTCTACATACAGGTGATATAAAAATTGAAGACTCAATTTTGTTTGTAAGGTATTGTCATGGATTGAATTTTGTGCCCCAAAAATATGTGTCAACTTGGTTAGGCCATGATTCCCAGTATTGTGTGGTTGTCCTCCATTTTGTGATTTTCCTATGTGTTATAAGTCATAACCTCTGCCTGTGGTTAAAAAGGATTAGGGTGGGATGTAACACCCTTGCTGAGGTCACATCCTTGATCCAATGTAAAGGGAGTTTCACTGGGGTGTGGCATGCACCACCTTTTTTCTTACATGAGATAAAAGGAAAAGGAAGTAAGCAGAGAGTGGAGGACCTCATACCACCAAGAAAGCAGTGCCAGGGGCAGAGTGCATCCTTTGGACCTGGGGTTCCTGCACGGAGAAGATCCTAGTCCAGGGGAAGATTGATGACAAGGCCCTTCCTCCAGAGCCTACAGAGAAAGCCTTCCCCTGGAGCTGCCGCCCTCAATTTGGACTTCTAACCTACTAGACTGTGAGAAAATAAATTCTCATTGTTAAGGCCATCCACTTGTGATATTTCTGTTATGTTATAGCAGCACTAGATAATTAAGATAAATATTTATCAATATCACCTAAAATAAAGGCAAATGTATACTCAATTGAATATGGTACACTAGGAGTTATCACATCACACGTGTCTGTTAGTTTGTCTAACTCTGCGGGCTTGCATGCTGCTGTGATGCTGGAAGCTATGCCACTAGTACTCAGATACCAGCAGGGTCACCATGGACGGGTTTCACCTGAACTTCCAGGCTAAGAAAAACTAGGAAAAAGGACCTGATAGTCTACTTCTGAAAACAAATTAGCCAGTGAAAACCTTATGAGTTACAGCGGAATATTATCTGAGATAGTGCCAGAAGATGAGCCCCTCAGGGTGGAAGGCACCCAAAAGATGACTGGGGAGGAGCTGCCTCCTCAAGGTAGAGTCAGCCTTAATGATGTGGGTGAAGTCAAGCTTTCAGGACCCTCATTAGCTGATGTGGCATGACTCAAAATGAGAATAAACAGCTGCTAATATCCATTAATAATAGAAATGCAGAATGTACTAAGTGTGAATCTAGGAAAATTGGAAATTGTCAAAAATGAAATGGAATGCATAAACATCGATATCCTAGGCATTAGTGAGCTGAAATGAACTGGTATTGGTCATTTTGAAACCAACAATCATATGGTCTACTCTTCTGGGAATAACAAATTGAAGAGGAATGGTATTGCATTCATTATCAAAAAGAACATTTCAAGATCTATACTGAAGTAATGCTGTCAGTGATGAGATAATATCCATGCACCTACAAGGAAGACCAGTTAATACAACTATTATTCAATTTCATGCACCAACTGCTAAGACCAAAGATGAGAAATTGAAGATTTTTACCAACTTCTGCAGTCTGAAATTGATCGAACATGCAATCAGGATGCATTGATAATTATTAGTGATTGGAATGCAAAAGTTGGAAACAAAGAAGAAGGATTGGTAGCTGGAAAATATGGCTTTGGTAATAGAAATGACACCAGAGATCACATGATAGAATTTTGCAAGACCAACAATTTCTTAATTTTTTTTTTTCAACAACATAAATGGCAACTATACACGTGGACCTCACTGGAAGGAATACACAGGGATCAAATCGACTACATCTGTGGAAGGAGACCATGGGAAAGCTCAGTACCATCAGTCAGAACAAGGCCAGAGGCTGACTGCGGAACAGACTGTCAATCTCATACGCAAATTAAAGTTGAAACTAAAGAGAATTAGAATAAGTCCATCAGAGCCAAAGTATGACCTTGAGTATATCCCACCTGAATTTAGAGACCACCTCAAGAATAAATTTGACACATTGAACACTTATGACTGAAGACCAGACTAGCTGTGGAATGACATCAAGGACATCATACATGCAGAAATCAAGAGATCATTAAAAAGACAGGAAAGAAAGAAAAGAACCAAATGGATGTCAGAAGAGACTCTGAAACTTGCTCTTGAACATCAAGTAGCTAAAGCAAAAGGAAGAAATGATGAAGTCAAAGAGCAGAACAGAAGATTTCAAAGGGTGACTCAAGAAGACAAAGTAAAGTATTATTATGACATGTACGAAGACCTGGAATTAGAAAACTAAAAGAGAAGAGCATGCTCAGCAATTCTCAATCTGAAAGAACTGAAGAAAAATTCAAGACTCGAGTTGCAATAGAGAAGGATTCTATAGGGAAAATTCTGAATGACACAGGAGGCATCAAAAGAAGATGGAAGGAATACACAGAGTCACTGTACCAGAAAGAATTGGTTGACAGTCATTTCAGGAGGTAGCACATGATCAAGAACTTATAGTACTGAAGGAAGAAGTCTAAGATGCACTGAAGGCATTGGTGAAAAACAAGGCTCCAGGCATCGACTGAATACCAACTGAGATGTTTCAACAAAAGGATGAAACATTGGAAGTGCTTACTCATCCTTGCCAAGAAATTTGGAAGATAGCTACCGGGCCAACTGACTGGAAGATATCCATATTTGTGCCTATTCCCAAGAAAGATGATCCAAATGAATGTGGAAATTATCGAACAATATCATTAATATCACACGCAAGTAAAATTTTGCTGAAGATCATTCAAAAATGGTTGAAGCAGTAAATCAACAGGGAACTGCTAGATACTCAAGACAGATTCAGAAGAGGACATGGAACAAGGGATATCATTGCTGATGTCAAATGGATCGTGGCTGAAAGCAGAGAATACCAGAAATATGTTTACTTGTGTTTTAGTGACTATGCAAAGGTATTCGACTGTGTGGATCGTAACAAATTACAGATAGCATTGGGGAAAATAGGAATTCCAGAACACCTAATTGTGCTCATGCAGAACCTATACATTGACCAAGAGGCAGTGATTCAAGCAGAACAAGAGGATATGCTTGGTTTAAAGTCAGAGAAACTGTGTCAGGGTTATATCCTTTCACCATACTTATTCAATCTGTATGCTGATAAAAAAAATCCAAGAAGCTGGACTAGAGAAGAAGAATTCAGCATCAGGATTGGAGAAAGACTCATTCACAACCTGCATTATGCAAATGACACAACCCTGCTTGCTGAAAGCAAAGAGGACTTGATGTACTTACTAATGAAGATCAAAGACTACAGCCTTTGGTATGGATTACACCTCAACATAAAAAAAAAGAAATCCTCACAACTGGACCAATAAACAACATCATGATAAATGGAGAAAAGATTGAAGTTCATAAGGATGTAATTTTACTTGTATCCACAATCAACATCCATGGAAACAGCAGTGAAGAAATCAGACGATGCATTGCATTGAGCAAATCTGCTGCAAAAGACCTCTTTAAAGTGTTAAAAAGCAAAGATATCACTTTAAGGACTAAGGTGTGACTGATTCAAGCCATGGTGTTTTCAATCGCCTCATATGTACGTGAAAGCTGGACAATGAATAAGGAAGACCAAAGAAGAACTGACGCATTTGAGTTGTGTTGGTGAAGAATATTGAACATACTATGGACTGCCAAAAGAACGAACAAATCTGTCTTGGAGGAAGTACAGCCAGAATGCTCCTTAGAAGAGAGGACGGCGAGACTTCATCTCACGTATTTTGGACATGTTATCAGGAGGGACCAGTCCACAGGGAAGGATATCATGGTAGATAAAGTGGAGGGTCGGTGAAAAAGAGGAAGACCCTTCAATGAGATGGATTTACACAGTGACTGCAACAATGGACTCAAGAAAACATTGATTGTGAGGATGGTGCAGGAGCCGGCAGTGTTTTGTTCTGTTGTACATAGATTCACTGAGTCGGAACTGACTCTGGCACCTAACAACAACAGGAGTTGTCATACTGCCATGCACAAAATATGATAACAATGATGATGATGATGATAGTCAACATATAAAACATTCATTTTCTATAGTAGTCATGGTCTTAGGTGCTTTTGTTTTATTATTAAGTTATCTAAGCTCCAACAACCAGCAGGTGGTAGTACAGAGTTCATGGTTACTATTAAAATTTGGGAAGACATCTTAGGAAATCTTTCTGCAAAAGGAGATAGGACGTACAAGTTGAAGTACCAATAGATGTTATCCCGGTTCCTAGTGAGTAGTCAGCATCCAAGCAGAAGATCAAGAGTGTGCAAATATATGAAAACAATAGACGTTATCTCTTTGTAGAACTTTGAACAAATCTGGTTGACTGTAACCTATGTGGGTGGTAGGCAGCATCACTTGGAGAGGAGGTTAGAGAGTTAGGAAGGAGGCTGAGATGGAGGGTTTTCATATCTCACAAATAGGCATGGAATTTATACTGTGGTTACAGAAAGAGAGGAAACATAAGGGTATTACCAAATAGCTTGAAAACTATTTGGGTTTTATCAAACAATAATTTATAAGAAGAGACAATATATATCTTTGCTACCTGATGTGTCTTTGCTCCTTTTTTGTTCTTCAGGCAAATGAGGTTCTCCAGAGCTTCCTGCAGTGTCAGGCACCAATAGAGGAAGCCATCTTGCAGTCAGATAGAGCCCTCTCTGATTCAGAAAAGGCCAAAGCAGGTATGCGGGCAGTATTCAGTCACAGTAGGGTGGGGAGGCTCCTGCGATACCCTGTGACAGATCTAACAGGAAGATCTTCCTGAAACAATAAGATTTCTCTCCTTCTGCAAAACATATACTCTGCTCAATCTGAAAATAATAAGGAGAGTTGTGGGTGTATGCCCAGCCAGACAGGTAGTTCCTTTCCTATCGCATTCTAAAAAGAGTCCTTGATGGTGTGGATACTGGGAGAATTGAGAGATGTCAAACCCTCCCTTCAATTTAGTGTCTCTGATATCAGAACAGCAGAGCACAGGATTGACTACTTTTCTTCCCTCCCTAAAACCTTTGTGGGACAGCGATGCAGGCAAAGAAGGAGGCAGCTGAGAAGAAACAGGAGTTGCTAAAAATTAAAAATCAAGAGCAGCAGAAAAAGATGAAGGCTCAAGAGAGGAGCTTCAAAGAAAACATGGAGCAATTGAAACAGAAGATAGAGAGGGAAATTGAAAACTCTCTGAGAGACAAGGAAAAGATGCTGGAACATAAGCAGAAGGTAAGTCTGTCCTGGCCCTGGGCAATGCATGATAAGCACAGCTCTGGTACATCAGAGAGGGAAGGGTCAAAATTTGAAACAAATTCATGAGCCTAGAGGGTAACACAAACCTAATGTAATTCACTATAAACTCAAATCCAGCTGGATCCAGCTGAAGTCATTAAATCCACAAGACTGCAGCACCTTCTGTAGCATTAGGTTTTGGAAAGGATGAATAACATCCCCCAGATCTTTGGGCTGCTATTGGTGTTGATTATAGAATGGCCTTATTGTGTCCCAGTTGAATATAGTCTTGGGCCTCTCATCCTATAGTCCTTAGGATTCTTGGTAGCACGTCAAAGAAACCTGAAATAGATCCATCTGGTCTTAAAAGTACCTGATTTGGCCTCATATGAAATACAAGAGTCCTAAAGCTCTAAAATCAGCTACATTCGTTTCCCAATCTGCCTGAGTCACTCTATGCAGCACAGAGGAAAATTCTTTCCTTGTCCCAACATGGAGCTTGATAATGAGTGTCTACAGGGTCAGCAATTTGCGTTATTTGTTAGATGTGTGTGACATGCTCCTTTGGGTGAAACTGAAAATTAAGTCGTATCAACCTACATTCCATCTGAAAGGGCATCATTTGGGCTGGAACACATTATGGGAATCATTCTCAGGCCTGAACTAATTTTGACCTCTCCTCACTTTCAGTGAGATAGTTCAGAGGGAAACTTAGGTTAGTATAGACCATGGATACTCTCACTACCCAGGTCCAAATATATGGACAATTGAACAGCGTCATCAAAGATCCCTCTATGATGGTAGAGAAATAGATATATGTGCTTATACCTGATGAAGTTGTTATAGAGAAAACCCCAACCTCACAATTGGAGATTTTCAAAAGTGTATCCTTTCCTCTTTATAGGTTCAAAAAGAACTGCTGAATGAAGGATTTGAAAAGAAATCTGAGATGTTAAATAAAGAAATAAATCAACTAAGAGAAAAGATTGAAACAACAAAGAAAAATAAGAACTCATGGTTTTCAAAGGCCCTTGATACAGCTGGCCCAATATTACTGAAAGCACTACCTCTGCTGATAATTGCAGCAATAAAACTATATTAAATGGGTTTAGAATTCTTGTTAAGCAAATTAAACAATGATAATTTTTTTATTTTGTGGCTCATTTTTGAAGTACATTTGTCATGTTAATTTCATTTTTAAAAGTTTAAAAATAGAAAATGATTTCTAGACAATATCAGAGCCTACCATAAACAAAGACAAACTTAATTATAATCAAACAAATTTAAAGAAATGAGAAATGACAAATAAGAAGATGTAATAGAGGAGAAGATTTGTAATACTATCAAAACAGAAAAATATGGTGGAATAAAATTACCAAGAAGTACATAAAATTCATATGAATAAATATTTGAACTGTTACTGAAAGACACAAAAATCAGTAAAAATGAACAAACTAGTAATGTCAGTATGCTATAAGTCAACATATACACTTAACATGATTCAAATAAACATGTCACACCTTTTTTTGGAAGTATACCAATATATTTAAACTTTATAGGGAAAATGACAAAAGTATTCAATGTAAGTTGGAAAAAAAGATCATTAGTGAGGAGGGACTAGCTGTAACCATATGTTAAAACATCCCTTCAATTAGCACAGTGGTACTGTCATCTTAATATTCAAACAGCAATTTAACAGACTTGAAAGTTTAGAAATCAATGCAAAGTCATACAGAAATTTAGTTTATGATAAATCTGGTGTTTCAGATTAGTGAAGGAACAGAAATATTCAGCAAATGGTATTTGGACAACAGGTAGCCATATGTAAAGCCATTGCTAAAGATTGATCAGTCTTTACTAAAACACGGGAAGAACTTTGTCTGTAGGTATATAGATGAGCATGGTCAGGGCAGTGAACAGTTCTACTCAATCTCCAAAACAGTGCTGAGGAAATCCAGAGAAGCCAGGGTAGATCATGGATACTTTTAGATATAACTGTACATACACCTCTAACCCACCACTGGGTAATGTAAAGGAATGGATGTCTTTTAATTCTTTTAGAATTTTAATCAATTCTTACCAAGTTGTCATTTAAGACTTTGGTCTTTCTTTCCTGGAATAAACTCATCTTTTTTTTTTTTTTTTTCAGAATTTAATCAAGTCTGACCAAGTGGTCATTTAAGACTTTGGTCTTTTTTTCGTGGAATAGACACTTTTTTTTTTTTTTTTTATGGTGTAATATTCTTTATTTGTGAAGCTAAATTTTAGTATCATCAAGGAGGAGAGGGGAAGGAACGTGTAGATTTACTAATTTCCTTACTTGATGAAGTGGGAAGTTCAAGATACCTACAAAATTAAGAATTGTAATTAGTTTGGATAAATTGTAGCCATTTCAGTCCTCTTCACTGTGGTCCCAGCGTTGTTGCAGGGCTTCTGGGAAATGTTTTATTCACAGAGAATAAAAGACACATAGAAATAAACAGTACATTTTCTTTCTCAGCATGTTGAGTCCACATGTGGTGCTCAGAACTAAAGCAGCCATTTTGAAAACATGAAAGCAGCTGTCCTAAGAAAATAAGAAAATAGTAGTCAGAGAAAAAAAGAGAAAGATATCACTAACCTTAATGATACTCTTGAGCTGCATGTTTACCCAGCACCATTAATGGCTTTCACCCAGATTTTGTGGAGGTAAGATTCTAAATGTCCTACACTTAGGCCATTTTAAGTCTTCTACTTTTGTAAACAACATTATTGTTTTTTGCTTCAACTGGCATTAATTTTATGATTTAAAAATATTTTCAAGTGAATGGTAAAACATATGTAAAATTTTTAGAAAAATTAAAAGTGAAGAAGGTGACCTTGGCATGTGTAATAGATTGTATTTTTTCCCCAAAAAATATGTGTCAACTTGGTTAGGCCATGATTCCCAGTATTGTGTGGTTGTCCTCCACTTTGTGATTGTAATTTTATGTTAAAGAGGATTAGGGTGGGATTGTAACACCCTTACTAAGGTCACACTTCTGATTCAATGTAAAGAGAGTTTCCCTGGAGTGTGGCCTGCACCACCTTAGGGAACTCATACCACCAAGAAAGAAACACTGGGAGAAGAGTGCATATTTTGGACCTGGGGTTCTTGCATGGAGAAGCTCCTAGTGCAGGGGAAATTGGATTACAAGGACTGAACTCCAGAGCCCACAGAGAAAGCCTTCCCCTGGAGCTGGACACACTGAATTTGAACTTCCAGCCTATGAAACTGTGGTTGAATAAACTTCTGTTTGTTGAAGCCATCTACTTGTGGTATTTCTGTTATAGCAGCGACTAAGACAACATGATAAAGAGTAAACACTATTGTCCAATAGCCAAAATCATTGTTAATGGTGATTACCAGTGTCATGCCCTTGAGAGTCAGTATCACCATAATAATTTAATGTGGTTCTGGGGGTTTTAAGTCACACATTGGAACCAAAGAGAGTATACATTTAAATTGCAATTTGAACTGTGTCCCACCATGTTTCTCTTCCCCTAACAGACACTCAGGAGGTTTGGCCTGACCATGTCTTTTGAGTGTTCTCTTCAGGACAATTTCTCAGCATTTTGTGGCCTTTTCTCCAGTACTCCTGGCTCTAGAATAGGCCACAATTCTGCACATCAATATATCCATATATTCATACCATAATTTATATATTGAGATGATAGGAGAGGCCACTATTCCTTATTATATCCTTTTTCCTGTCTGCAAAATACACATCCAACAGGGATATCTTAACAAATGGTCAAAATAAATAAATTCAAAATCTATTTTCACACAGAAGGGGAAGAATTTAGATTTTTGATAATTATGTCTTTCTTTAAGATCAAAAGGCCAAGGGACTATGCATTCAAATTATGTACATGTCTATATAAAAATCTATACCTATAAATTATCTGTTACTTTTAAATTAGTATAAATTTTAAATATCTATAAAGAAATTAATTACCTATAAATCAATTTATATTTGCCTGTTATATCCAATACAGTTATAACAGAATTCGGGAGGATCTTCACCAAGTCATCCTAATTTTCACTCAGAGAAATTGGTTAATAAGAGGATGCAAAACAACTTATTGGAAAAGAATTCCACTGCCAGATATTAAAACAAAGCATAAAATAGAGTCGTTTTAAATTAAAATACTGAGTTTAATAAGTATAAACAAAAACAGGAATTCTGGGAAGATATCAGATAAACAGGTTTAAATTTTGATCTTCACCCAAAAGTACACCAAAAAATACAAGAAAGCTGTGCTCAGACTTGAGGGACTCTGAATCGGTGAGCAGAAGACAGCAGAAGGAAACTGCAGATGGACACAAGTTAATAACTAGTCCCATATGTAGTAACCTTGCTTCTCACACGATCCCTGCCCTTCCCACCTAGCCATGTGCATGCACTACCAGCTGATGTGAACTAAGGAAGAGGCCCTAGTAAACACAGCCTGCTATCCCAGGCAACACACTCCCTTCCTGTGCAAAGGTAAAAGCTCCATACTTCTGCTCTGAAATCAACAAGGCTGTCCTCTCTGGGGTTCATTCAGAGTCTGTCTCCCCTCCTCCTCCTGGTAATTGTCATTTGCCAAAAACTGCTATAGTTACAGAAGCTCTATAGAAGCCCCCCTGCAATGGAGCCTGCTCCCATAGCCAAAACACTGTCTGTGCACAATGAAAATCCCATCTCTCAGGCCTGAAAATAATAGGTCAGATCTCCCTGGGGTGTCTGTACAGGTCTGTCTGCCCCTCCAGTCAGCACTGAGAACTGCTGACTGTGGCTGCTTTGAGCTAGGAAGTGGGTGCCTTAAGTGAAGCCTATTCCTCCAGCCACCACACTGCCGCTGGATCTCTGAAATCAATAACACAGATCTCCCTGGGGGCCCATTTGGGTCTGTCTGCCCACCCCCAAGTCACACTAAGAACTGCTGACTGTGTCTGCTGTGAACTATGAAGTGGGTGTGTTAAGTGGAGTACAAGCACCCAGGCAAAACACTGCTGGTCTGTGCAAATGAGAAAGGCCCCAGGCTCTGAGATCAATAAGACAGCTGTCCAGGGGATCTTTCTGGGTAGTGTCTGCCCCTCCACCTCCTGACACTGAGGAAAATCTGACTTGCTTCCCCTGATTGCCAGTTCAGACATAAGTGGGCCACCACAGAGGAGAGAAAGAAGCCTCAGGCAAAACCTGAGGAGAGCGTGCATCTCTAGAAGGGACTCATTAGGTGTGGACTTTCTGACTGAAAACATGGTAACAGAAACAGAGCAGGGGAAGGAGAAATAACTAGAGAGAGAAGACAGCATGCCCTGGTAGACAGATCAACTAGGGCACGTTCTCTGTTGTGTTTGGGAGACACTGAAAGTTAAAAACTAATATCTAGAACTTGAAAATCCTAATTAAAACAGAGAGGAAGAGGAAGCTATCATAGAAAGAAGAAGTAGCAGTAAGCAATGTCCAAAGACTCTGCCTGCCTAAAAGTTTCTTCATGAAAGTAGTGCTGGTAAAACACATGAAATTATGGGAAGAACTGAGAAAATTAACACACTGTGAAATTCTGATGTCCTAACAAAAAGTCACAAAACAAGCAAAAAGAATGGAAATGATGGTCCATACAATTGAATAAGACAAAGAAAGTGGAATTATATCTATGGAAGTCCAAATAAGGAACAAAATGTAAGAACATAATACAATAATATTAAACATACTCAAAGAACTAAAGGTAAACATAGACAAAGATCTAAAAGAAATCAGGACAATATTGCATGAACCAAACAAGGATTTTTAAAAAAAGAGAAACACTCTAAAAAGAAACCAAACAGAAATACTGAAACTGAAAGAGACAATAACTGAAATAAAAAGATTTAACACTGGAAAGATTTAACAACAGATTTGATCAGACAGAAGAAAGAATCAGCAAACTAGAGGATAAGATAATTGAAATTACAGAAGGTTGAAGAGCAACAAGTAAGGAGGCTCAAGACTGCTGAACACAGTTTAATGGAATTATAGGACAACATCAAGAGGACCAATATGCATCATGGGAATCCCAAAAGGAGATGAGAGAGAAAAAGAGTCAGAAAGATGAAGAAATGATGGCTGAAAATTTTCCAACTCTGACGAAGGACAGGAACCTATAAATCCAAGAAGCTTAATGAATTCCAAGCAGAATATACCCAAAAATGTCCACAATGAGACACATTATAGTCAGGCTCTTGAAAAATAAAGATAAAGTGAGTATCCTGAAAGGTAAAAGAGAGAATAAACTGTCACATATAAAGAATCCTCGACAAGATTAATTGCCGATTTCTCCTCAGAAACCTTGGAGGTCAGAGGGCAATGGAAAGATATATTTAAAGCACTGAAAGGAGGAAAAAAAAAAGACTAAGTGTAATGGATGGAATTGTGTCCCTCCAAAATATGTGTCAGCTTGGTTAGGCCATGATTCCCAGTATTGTGTGGTTGTCCTCCATTTTGTGATTTTCCTATGTGTTATAAATCATAACCTCTGCCTGTGGTTAAAAAAGATTAAGGTGGGATGTAACACCCTTGCTCAGATCACATCCTTGATCCAATGTAAAAAGTTTTCCTGGGATGTGGTCTGCACCACCTTTTATCCTACGATAGATAAAAGCAAAAGGAGGCAAGCAGAGAGTGGGGGATCTCATATCACCAAGAAAGTAGTGCCGGGAGCAGAGTGCATCCTTTGGACCCAAGGTTCCTGCACAGAGAAGCTCCTAGTCCAGGGGAAAATCGATGACAAGGCCCTTCCTCCAGAGCTGACAGGGAAAGAAAACCTTCCTCTGGAGCTAATGCCCTGAATTTGGACTTCTAGCCGACTAGACTGTGAGAAAATAAACTTCTCTTTGTTAAAGTCATCCACTTGTGGCATTTCTGTTATAGCAGCACTAGATGACTAAGACACCAAGAATACCATATCTGACAAAACTGTTCTTCAAGAATGAGGGTGAAATTAAAACATTCCCAGATAAACAGAGGCCATGATATTTCATATCTACCAGACAGTCCCTACAAAAATGTTAATGGAAGTCCTTCAGACAGAAAAGAAAGAACACTAGAAAGTAAGTTGAAGCCATAAATAGAAAGGTCTCCAGTAATAGTAATT